ACACCTGTTGGTGCAAGATGCCATGTGAAACTCGACTGGGTTTCCGGGTCAAGAGTAATGGCGTACCTGGAATGCTTGTTGGATGTCGAGCATCCTGATAGGTGGTGAACAGAAGCATGTGTTAGAAGGGGACTGTGGGTCAGGAATCCCAGGGAGGCAGCACGAGGCTGTCTCCTTGGCTGCTCTGAGACCGAGGGAACGCCCCACAGAATGTGGGCTTGGGAAGCAGAGCAGCCAGATCCTGGAGGCGTGGTGACTAGAAGGACAGTCGTCCCCACAGAGACAGGAGACAGAAAGAAGGGGATGGTTGGAGAAGCTGTGGTTTGGGCGTGATGGATTTGAGGAGCCCATGGGAAAAGGGACCATCGCAAGGGTTGTGCAGGGTTTGGGAGACCATTTAGGACAGGAAGTGGAGGCCTGGAGTCCCCCACATGTGTGTATATATGTGTGCATGTGCTTGCGTGCACATGTGCACGTACACAGACATACATACACACAGACGGAGAAGAGGCAGGAAAAAAGAAGGGAGATTTGTTTATGAGCAGAGCAAACCAACAGAAGCACCCTAACATAACATAGTAATCTTCAGCAGGCAGATTTGATTTTTTTTTTTTTTTAAAGATTTATTTATTTGACAGAGACAGAGAGACAGCGAGAGAGGAAACAGAAGGAGGGGGAGAGGGAGAGAGAGAAGCAGGCTTCCCGCCGAGCAGGGAGCCCGACGTGGGGCTCGATCCCAGGACCCTGGGACCATGACCTGAGTTGAAGGCAGACGCTTAACGACTGAGCCACCTAGGAGTTCCAGGCAGATTTGATTTTTTAAAGAAATTAAAAGATGGGGGCGCCTGGGTGGCTCAGTCGTTAAGCGTCTGCCTTCGGCTCAGGTCATGGTCCCAGGGTCCTGGGATCGAGCCCCACGTCGGGCTCCCTGCTCGGCGGGAAGCCTGCTTCTCTCTCTCCCTCTCCCCCTCCTTCTGTTTCCTCTCTCGCTGTGTCTGTCTCTGTCAAATAAATAAATAAAATCTTAAAAAAAAAAAGAAAGAAAAAATGTATAAGAGTAATTTCTCCCGCCGTAGTAGATTCTCTGAACGGATAATGTGTGGGTATTCTGGGTCATTTTCCTATTTTGGGAAATGAGGTGCCTGTGTTCTGATCTGTACATTATTACATATTTAAACCTCCTAGTAAGCGTAGGTCGTATAGTCTTCATGTTATTTTTTCCTATGCAATTTTAAGGCTTTAAAATGGTCTCAAGAGGCAATAGCAATGATGTGTTTTAGACTGAAACCCGCTTAGAAGAACCCAAGAAGTCAGGCTTAATTTCCAGATATTTGTGGTGAGGCTTTAGTCTGAAGCCCAATTTAGTAGTTGTTTTTGTTTGTTTCAACTCGAAACAGGCCTTTCTTCTTTGTTAGCCACGCTTCCCACCTCCTATGAAGAGGACTTCCTTCGTTGGGGGGGGGGGGAGGGGCATAAGGGATGAGACCCACAACAACAGAACAAGTGAACACGAAGAACGCAAGGCTTTCCTGGGCTTTCCTGGGCTGCCGTAGCAGAGCCGAGTGAACTTACACCCTAGCCACACAGCTCTGTACCGGGCTACTTCAGACCTCTGGGGACGTCCCTTTGCTAATTCAGCTGACACGTTTCTGTGTCACCATGAACACTTGTTAGTTTTTCCCAGGCCTGTATGGATTAAGTTACATTCTTACTCCTCTTTCCCCCACTCCTGCTCCCCGATTCCCGTTTCAGTGGAGTGGACAAGGGTAGGGTAACAGGGGAAGTTCTGGAGTGGATGTGGGTGCTTTGAGATCATTGTCTAACAGTTATTCAGAGTTGATCCTGAAGCATCTTACTTGCTTTTAAGCTTTATCAGTTCTGGGGTGGTGGAGGAAGGAGTAAATTGGTATCAAAGTGCCTTTGCTAAATGGCATGATGGAGGGTCACTCGTTTATTTCAGATGCTAGGAAAGGTCGCCAGTGGGTGATTAGATACAGGTTCACTCTGGAGTGTTTTCTTGCTTAGATAATGGAATTGGTTAAAAGCTGTTTCCAGTGGAGGGGCGCCTGGGTGGCTCAGTCGTTAAGCGTCTGCCTTCGGCTCAGGTCATGATCCCAGGGTCCTGGGTTCGAGCCCCTCATCGGGCTCCCTGCTCGGCGGGAAGCCTGCTTCTCCCTCTCCCACTCCCCCTGCTTGTGTTCCTGTTTTCGCTATCTCTCTCTGTGTCAAGTAAATAAATAAAATCTTTAAAAAAAAAAAAAAAAAAAAAGCTGTTTCCAGTGGATCCTCCTCCTCCCCCCAAAACTTAGTGTTCAGAAAAAAAGCAGCCTTTGGTGGGGGTGTTCTGGTCCAGGAGTTCGGCATTAAGCAGTGCAGGCCCCGGGCATGAGGCTGTTGATGAGCTTGTGGGTGGTGTTGGGTCACCTCTGATAGCCTGTCCTCTAGGACTTAGATGCAGCGAGGTTCTGCGGTCCAGTCAGGGTAGCCTGCAAGGCAGATACTCAGTGAATGTTCCTGAATGAGGGACCGTGCTCTGCCCTGAGAAACCTCAGCTTGGGCCTCACTGCTTTCCTTTTGTTTAGAAAACAGACCAAGAGGCCCATCCTAAAGTTCTCAGAAAAGAAACAAACGTTCTTTTTTCCCTTTTCCACCTGTTGTATAAAATGCAATAAAACATGCAGAAGCGGGAGGGTGGGGGTGGGAATTCAGTCTAAACACCACCATCCAGGTAATGAGTCTTTTTTTTTTATTCTTATGTTAATCCCCATAAATCATTAGTTTTAGATGAAGTGTTCCATGATTCATTGTTTGTGCATAACACCCAGTGCTCCATGCAGAACGTGCCCTCCTCAGTACCCACCACCAGGCTAACCCATCCTCCCACCCCCCTCCCCTCTAGAACCCTGTTTTTCAGAGTCCATCGTCTCTCATGGTTCGTCTACCCCTCCGATTTCCCCCGCTTCATTCTTCCCCTCCCGCTACCTTCTTCTTCTTCTTTTTTTTTTCTTAACATATATTGCATTATTTGTTTCAGAGGTACAGATCTGAGATTCAACAGTCTTGCACAATTCACAGCGCTTACCAGAGCACATACCCTCCCTAGTGTCTATCACCCAGTCACCCCATCCCTCCCACCCCACCCCCCACTCCAGCAACCCTCAGTTTGCTTCCTGCAATTAAGAATTCCTCATATCGGGACGCCTGGGTGGCTCAGTCGGTTAAGTGTCTGCCTTCAGCTCAGGTCATGATCCCAGGGTCCTGGGATTGAGTCCCGCAGGGAGCCCGCTTCTCCCTTTGCCCCTCTCTCTCTCTCTCTCTCTCATGAATAAATAAATAAAATCTTTAAAAAAAAAATTCCTCATATCAGTGAGGTCATATGATACATGTCTTTCTCTGATTGACTTATTTCGCTCAGCACAACACCCTCCAGTTCCATCCACGTCGTTGCAAATGGCAAGATCTCATTCCTTTTGACGGCTGCATAATATTCCATTGTAGATATATCAGGTAATGAGTCTTATTACTATCCTTTAGAGGTGGGCAGTCATGTTCCTTACTGATTTTCTGTGTATTTGTCCTATCAGTTATTCAGAAAAGGGTCTTGAAGTCTCTGATGATTGTGGTTTTGTGTATTTCTCCATGGGGTTCTATCGGTTTTTACTTTATTTTGAAGCTCAGTTATTAGAGGCTGTTAGGTCCCCTTGATGAATCTGCCTCTTCATCATTATGAAATGACCTTATCTCTGATGATGGTCTTGGCTCTGCAGTCCAGTTTGTCTGATACTAAAACAGCTACTCTCTCTTTTGACTACTAGTATTAGCATGCATCCTTTCCCATGTTTTTAAGTTTAAACTATTTGTCTTTATATTTAAAGAGGGTTTCTTGTAGGCAGCCTTAATAGGAGTTGGGTATTGCCTTTTAAAGAAATCAGCTGGGGCTCCTGGGTGGCTCAGTTGGTTAAGCATCGGACTCTCGGTTTTGGCTCAGGTTGTGATCTCAGGGTCATGGGCTTGAGTGCCATGTTGGGCTCTGCGCTTAGTGGGGAGTCTGCTTCTCTTACTCTCCCTCTGCCCCTCCCCCCTCTCTTTTTCTAAAATAAATTTAAAAAAATCCAATTGGCAATCTTTTCCTGTTTTTTTTTTTTTAATTTAGACAGATTTTCCCTATTTATTTAATTTTAATTCCAGTACAGTTATGTACAGTGTTATATTAGTTTCAGGTATAGAATATAGTGATTCAGTTGTATACGTTATTCAGTGCTCATCACGACAGGTGCTCTCCTTCATCCCCCTCATCTGTTTCCCCCACCCCCCACCTCCCCTCTGGTGACAATCAGGGTGTTGAGAGTCTGTTTCTTGGTTTGCCTCTTTTTTACCCCCTTTGTTTTCTTAAATTCCACCTATGAGTGAGATCATACGGTGTTTGTCTTTCTCTGACTGACTTATTTCACTTAGCGTAATACCCTCTAGCTCCATTCATGTTGAAAGTCCCAATACTTTTGACCTCTGGTGGTCTTGGTCGGGTCCTGGGGTAACTACACTTTGTCTTTCAGCCTGACATTCATGAGGGAATTTGGCATAGCACTGTCCAGCAAAGACATCTAAGGGTGATTCAAAATTTCTCTTTGTGTTGTTTCAATGGTGAGGGCCTCTGAAGAAGGGCACTTTGGCTATATTTGCTACTTCTCTTCTGAACTTAACAAGTCCCATCTTTTAAAAGCCAACTTTCACGTGCCTTTCCTTCTTATTTTAAGAATTAAAAAAAAAAGTGGTGGGGGGCACCTGAGTGGCTCATTTGGTTGAGCGGCTGCCTCTGGCTTGGGTCCTGATCCCAGGGTCCTGGGATCAAGTCCCGCATTGGGCTCCCTGCTCCTCGGGAAGCCTGCTTCTCCCTCTCATTCTCCCTCTCTCTCTCTCCTTCTCTGTCAAATAAATACAAAATCTTAAAAAAAAAAAAAGTACATGGTTGCTATTCCTGTCCTCCAATTTTTTTTTTTTTTTTTTAAAGATTTTGGTTATTTATTTGAGACAGAGTGAGCATGGAGTGGGGAGAGGGAAAGGGAGAAGCAGGCTCCACACTGAGCAGGGAGCCCAGTGTGGAACTCGATCCCAGGACCCTGAGATCATGACCTGAGCCGAAGGCAGACGCTTCACCAATTGAGCCACCCAGGTGCCCCACCATCCATATACTTTCAAAAAACTTGTATTTTGAAAATTTTCAGACGGAAAGAAAATTAGTAAGGAGTGTAACCAACTGACAGTCTTCCCTTTTAATGGGTGTTTAGATGATTTTTGATGTGATTGGGCTTAAATGTACTGTCAAGTACTACTTTCATAGCGTGAGGACCTTAGAATGGTGTCCTTCCACGTCTCCTCCCCCAGCCTACCTGCTGTTGCCATACATTTTACTTGCATGGACCAGGTTGCTGTTGTTTTTGTCAAAACAGTAGACCGTCTTCAGAAGGAAGGTCTGACGTATTTGCTGTGTCCTTGTCATTTCTGGTGCTCTGCACTTCTGGTGAAGGTTTCTCTTTGCACCCAGAGTCCTCTCCCTCCCGTGGAAGGACCCCATCACCACCCTTACCCGACAGTTCCCATACTTGCAGCCCTCCCATCTGGAGTGCGCCGTGGTGCTGGTGCGCATCTTCATAGACTTGTGTGAGCCTCAGCAGCACCTGTGGAAGATTTTCGGTGGCTGTTGAGTTGGAGGACGACGGATGTTTTCTTGCAGTTCTCCACGGATGCTGCCTGGCATGTGCTCACCATATTCCCCACGAGCACCTGCTGCCGTCCCGTCTCCCTCCTCTGCTTGCTGGTTCTGCTCTGGCTGCTCTCTGGGGGTGGCCTGGGGTGTGGTGTCCTTCATGTTTCTTTGCTTGGGTTTCACTGAGTGCCTTGGATCTCCGAGTTTACGGGTTTTCCGTCAGAATTTGAACTTTCTGTGCTTTACTTCTTCAGATATCTTTCTGCCCCTCACCCCTGTGGGGCCACCAGTGCTCGGCTGTTGAGGTGCTTGCAGCTTCCCACTTGCTGACCCTAACTTGCTCTTGCTCTGCATCCCCTCTGATCTGTGCTCAGTGTCCCCGGTCTTCGCTTCTGAATGCTTCTGCTGCTGGCAGTCCCACCTGGTGTGTGTCTCCTGTCCCACGGGCATAGTCTTCACCCCCAGAGGCTCCTACCTAGCATGTCTCTAGTTCACATGTATTAACTGACTGATGTCTGCATCTGCTAATTTTGCCATCTGTGTCAACTCCGGGTTGGTTTCGCTTGACTGGTTTTTCTTATTATGTGCTCTATTTTCTTAATTGCATGCCTGGGGCTATTTTTTTCAGTATGCTTCTTATTTTGGAAAACTTTTCAGATTTTTGGAAAAGTTATAAAGATAATAGAGAGTTCCTGTACACCTCTCTTCCGGCTTCCTCTCAGTGCTGACACCTCATGTTATTATGATACCTTCCTTAAAACAGCAACCATCATCGGTGCATTGCTCTCAGTACAAGTGCAGACTTTATTCAGATTTCCTCTGTTCCTACTAATGTCCCTTCTCTGTCCCAGGACCGCATCCAGCACATTGGATCGTCCTGTCTCCTGGGTCTCCTCTGTTCGGGGACAACTTCTCAGTCTTTCCTGGTCCTCATGACATTGGGAGTCTGCAGGAGCTCCAGCCAGTGTTCTGTACGATGTCCTCTTTTTGGGTTTGTGTGACGTTTTCTTCGTAGACTGGGTTTTTGGTTTTGGGGAGAGATGACCACAGAGAGGGTGTGTCTTCTCCTCACATCCGGTCTGGGGTGTGTGCTGTCCCGTGGCCTGTGGGGGCTCGCCTCGGCCACCTGGTCATGGGGGCAACTGCCAGGTTCCTGCATGGTGTAGTCACAGCCCCGCTTTTGTCCTCTGTCCTTCAGAGCAGGCCCACAGCCTAGCACACAAGCAAGGGGAGGGGAGCGTCTCCTTGTGGGGAAGGTTTGTGTTTCAGCCCACTTCTTTGTTTCTTCCGTGATTTATTGATGTCGGTATGGACTCATGTATATTTATTTTGTACCATGCTATTGATTTTTTGCTCAGATCGTTCCAGCTTTCATGTCTGGGAGTATCTGGATGCCAGACGCTGAGTTTTGCCTCGTTGGGTGCTGCATAGTTTTGTATTCCTGTAAATCTTCCTGGGCTTTGTTCTGGAATCCAGTTAGTTCTTGGAAACAGTTTGCTCCTTTCAGGCCTTGCATTTAGGATGTAGGCAGGCCAGGGCCTCGCTCAGTTTTGGGTTAATGCTCGCCCTGTGCTGCACTCTGGCCTTCGGAGCCCAGCCCTGCCTCTCATCTGTGCGTGCTTCCCTGCCTGCCCCTGGGTTGTTTCCTGCTTTCTGAAGACCCAAGGGGACTTCTACACACCTCTGGATAATTTCCTTCAAACTATGTCTTCTCTGATCTAAATATTCCCATTGACACACACACATAGCGTTCTGACTTTTTAATTCTCTTGAGGGTTTTTTGTTTTTTAAGTAAATTCTGTGCATGTTTGATAGACCTGCATGCAAAGAAGAAACTGCTTCCGCTCTGTTTCATGTCATTTTAAATACTGTTGTTTCTTTTTTTTTTTTAAGATTTTATTTATTTATTTGAGAGAGAGAGAATGAGAGAGAGAGCACGAGAGGGAAGAGGGCAGAGGGAGAAGCAGACCCCCTGCTGAGCAGGGAGCCTGATGCGGGACTCGATCCCGGGACTCCAGGATCATGACCTGAGCCGAAGGCAGTTGCTTAACCGACTGAGCCACCCAGACGCCCCACTGTTGTTTCATTTTATATCATTAAAAAGTAACAAGGAAAACAAGGGAATGTGACCCTAAGTATAGCCCGGGGCCTGAGCTGGAGCAGGGTGGTCAAATTGGAGTAAGGCCTGTGCTTTTTTAATAGCATGGTATCTGTGGGTCTTTGGAGTTGATCATTTCACTGTGATGATGTGTGGTTTTAATGTTAGGGGAAGCCTAGTGGAGGGTATACAGGAACTCTGCACTTTTTTATCAGTGGAAATTATTTAAAAAAAAAAAAAAAAAGAACCCAAAGAAGTACAGTCCTTTTTTCCCCCCAAGTGAACGTTTACGACAGTGTTCCACTAGATGGGTGCAGTCTTAATAGAAGTGCCTCAGACTCACAAATTGCGGGAGCCCCTCCTCCCCCCTCACAGGCGTCCCACCTGCCTTGTCTTCTCCATGCAGGAGGGAGCGGAGGGAGTGGAGGGAGCAAGTGTGGCTCTTCCAGAAGCCGGCCTCCTGACCCTTCCTCCCCTGTGTTTACATTCCGCCTGCATTAGTCATTGGACTGGCTGTGTTGTTTCTTTAACTTGGTGTTATGGCCCAGAAATCTTGTGTGCCTTTCCTGCCTGGCACTGTGCCTGCCTTCACCCTTGCCAGCCGGCGTGGTCATGGTCGGTCTCTCCCTGCTCTTCTGCCTCACGGGTCCCTGCCTGGCTGCCGTGCTGTCCGCTGGCTCCTCACAGGGCCTTCTGCGTGGGGCGCCTTCAGCTTCTGACCACAGCTGGTGCTGGGAGGCCCGGCAGACTCTGTGTTGATACCTGAAGCCCTTCCTGCCTCTTGACCTCGGGTGTTAGCGAATGATTTAGGGTGTCTTCGCTGCCGGGGGCGTGCACTTGGGGCATGCCACCAGGACTAGACGTCCGCTTGCCTGCAGGTGGCCAGCGATGGGCCGCAGTCCTTGGGTTTCCAGTTTATGAACATGCTGTGTAAAAGAAGTCCTTGTATTGTCTGAAAATGACTGGGGTTTTTGTTTTGGCTTGATATAATCTGTGCTTGTCAAGGCCATATTTTCTTAAATAACAATGTTTGTAACTTGTAAAAGTTATCTGCTCTTTGCACCTACCAGAAGGTGAGAGGTGATTGCACTGGGTCAGGATTTGCACCTCCGTCATTACATGGGTCCTGCAGGCTTCTTGTAGAAACACTGTTCCCTGGCACGTGTGAGCAGTGCCCCCGTTCCCAGTGCCCCATTCCTGCAGCGATCCTTGTAGGGAAGAGAAGGCCTCCTCTGCCCCAGGGCGTGCTGGCTTCTCCGTTCTCAGCCGCCAAAGCTGAGGACAGGGTGCCTTGTGGGCAGCAAGGCCTTGGTGAGCGGTCGTGTCCCCGTTGGGGGCAAGGAGGAGCATGGGCAGGTTCCCTGGGACTGCCTGTTCTGCCTTTGAAAGCCTCGATGTCCTGCTGCTGGGAAGGAAGAAAGGTTACGGCCTTGTCACTCTTCGTCACCTAACTTCTGGAAATGTGGTTCTCCACAAGAATTCATTTTTGCACTGTGGAGTTTATTATTTTTTTGGCCCACATTAAAAGTAGATAAATTGTTCATCTGAAGTCCAGTATTTTTTAATCAGTAAGGGCTTTACTTAAAACATGAAAATCTGGAGCTACTGAGGGTCTAGGTCCGGGTAGCCGCAGAGTGTGGTAGGTTAGCAAGATGAACAAAGATGCGCAGATGAGAGCAGCGATTAACCAAAAGTTGATAGAAACTGGAGAAAGAGAACATCTCAAAGAGTTGCTGAGAGCTAAATTAATTGAATGTGGCTGGAAGGACCAGTTGAAGGTACACTGTAAAGAGGTAGTTAAAGAAAAAGGACTAGAACATGTTACTGTTGATGACTTGGTGGCTGAAATCACACCAAAAGGCAGAGCCCTGGTACCTGACAGTGCAAAGAAGGAGCTCCTACAAAGAATAAGAACATTCCCTGCTCAGCATGCCAGCCTTTCAGACTGGATGAGATTGTGTTGTTTTGTGGTTTTATTTCTGAAAGTAAAACTTGCCATAAATTAGGAATCACTTTCCCAAAATAAAATCCTTTTATGTATGATGGTATACAGTTTTCACTAATGATGTATATATACATTGTATTGATTTTTTCCCCTAAATGTGTTATTTTAGTAAATACCTCATGAATGAAAAATAAATAAATAAAACATGAAAATCTGAGGAGCAATAAGGAAACGCTGGCACCCCTTTTGGCTTTGGCAAATAGGACAAAGCCAGTTACTTTCCATGACTTCGTTGAGATTGTAGTCCGTAACTTTTTAAAGCCGATTGAGAGGGCTTAGAGTTCCTTCTTCTCTAATGAGATTAGCTCAGATATTAAAGTTTGACCCTCCACAGTCTGTTGTAGAGGTTTGGTGACCCTGGGGTAGCTCGTGGCATTGACAGAAATGAGAATGACCAAGCGGCACCCATATTGGAGATAGTTCACTGTCCCAGTTTGCCTGTGTTGTGTCTGGGCGGTGGTCCTTCCCGCACAAGCCCGTGTGATTGGACTGAGAGAGGTCTCCTGGAAAGTAGGTGGTGGCAGCCTAACATTCATGTCTGGCTGAGGCACCAACCTTGTGGTCCCCTCGGGGCGCCTTGTCCCCATGTCACCCAGCAGCAGGTTCTCCACACAGTCCTGTCACTACCAGCACCGGGCTTTCTGTTACCAAAAGATGAAGAATGGTGCTGAGTGGGGTTGTTTTCTTTCAAAGGCCATGGCTGATGGGTTGTACTAAAATGAATTTATGTTTCTGAAGTCTTTGAGAACCTTTGAGTGAAGAAGGCAGACATGGTCCTTTGATCATATTTGTTGTTGGGAACAGGACCTCTGGCTTCTCCTTTCTCGCTCAGTGGGACTGAGGAGACCACAAAGAGCAGCTCTCGGCCCAGCCACGGGGACATGTGGCTTCTCCAGGTTCTTCTTGTGCCTCCTCTCTGCACAGCGAGGGAAGAACTGCGGTGGTGGTTGTTGACTTGCAGAATGGCCTTTCCCCAGTTTTCTGGGTTGGGGGGAGCTTGGTCTGGCTTCGCAGCCAGAGGCCAAGATCCTCAAGAGTGTGATGGCCATCTGTTTGGTCGTGGTAGATGGGGCAGATCAGAACGTTCTCTGTCTTCGGCTGTAAGCAAGGTGTCCATTCATGCGCTCTGGTTGTAAACCACTGGAGATCTGTTCTTAGCCATGGAGAATTGGAACCTTCTCTTGAAATTTTGTTTTCAGAAAAGTTACCGCAGAACAGTATCAGAAAGGTTTTGTTTGTAAGGTGGCCTACAAAACATTTAATCAGTGTTTTCTCAAATAACTCAGTGGTCTGATGAGAGAATAATGAGGAGAATATAAATTTACAAATACCATAAAACATGTTTTGTTTGTTTAATAGTTGGCAATAAATTGCATTTCCTTTTTTCTGTTGTTGTTGTTGTTGTTTTTTTTTTTTTTTAAAGCTTTATCTGTTAATTTAAGAGAGGAAGAGCGTGTGCGAGGCAGGGGAGAGGCAGAGAGAGAATCTCCAGCAGACTGCCCGCTGAGCGAGGAACCGATGCGATCTCAGGACTGATATCACGACCTGAGCTGAAACCAAGAGTCAGACACTCAACCAACTGTGCCCCCCAGGCGCCCCATAAATTGCGTTTCTGAAGGCAGAAATGTAAATCGCTTTGACACCTGGACCTTGCCTTCTCTGATTTTATGCATCTCTTGCTGGTGGCCAGCAGAACCAGTCACCCTCCAGTCTGACTTGCTGTGAGGTGGGCATTTTTATCATACCTAGGGCTCTCGTGGGCACATTCCTCCCGGAAGCTGAACACCTTCCCTGCCAATTGAGGATGTGAACAGGTGGGTGTTTTATTGTTTTGTAAAGACCCCAGGGAAAGGCAGTCTCAAGTCTCCTTGTTGACCGTCACTATGTTCTGGAAGCTCTCCCTTCTCTCACACAGACTCTACCGTGAAAAGCCACCTCTTCACATGTTCCCACGCACGCACGTGCCCACACAGGCCATGAACAGCTCACTGACTTCCCGTGCTTCTGGCTGCCGACCGTTAGACGTGATTTCTGTAGAGTGTGCGTGTGAGGCCAGAGGCCATCTGCTTGTGGCAGGAGGCAGCAAAACATCGTCTCCTCTCCCTTTCCAGTTTAAAGTTTGGATGATGTTTCCCCTAGTTCTGTTGAGATACAGTTACTTAAAACCCTGCATATGGTTAGGGGTAGGGTTAGGGTTATGTGTGTATCGTGCGGTGATCCCACGGTGGATTTACCCCACATCCATCATCTGACGGAGTCACTGTTGTTTTCTTGTGATGAGAACTGGTAAGACCTACTCTGCCCCTTTCCACAGTGAATCTTTTTGTTCTCCCCTGACCCCCCCAAGTCACCCCCATCTGTGCCAGCGCCCCGTATTTGATCTGGTCAGCGCCCCGTATTTGATCTGGTCAGAGGCACCCTTCTCATTGTTCTGCCCCTGATCTCTGGAGTTGAGATTTTGTCATTGTTTTTTCCGTATTGGTCTGCGGAGATAGGTGTTGTGTTCTGGATCTCGCTGTATTTTGATACCTGGGTGACTGACTCACACTGTAATCTTGCTGGCTCAGAACCAGTTCAGTGCAAGTGGCTGCCTGCACAAAAGGCGGGTATGTTCCCAGACACCTTAGCCTTCTTTACAAGGTGTGTGCTTGGACGACTTCTTCTTCTTCTTCTTCTTCTTCTTCTTTAAGGATTTTATTTATTTTATTTTAGAGAGAGAGGGAGGGCAGGGGGGAGAGAGTCTCAGTGAGACTCCATGCTGAGTGCAGAGTCCGATCTCTCAGGACCCTGAGCCAAACCCAAAAGTGGGCTTCTCAACTGACGGAGCCACCGAGGCACCCCGAGGTGTGCTTGGACTTGTGTCCCCACGTGAAGATCCATCTGTCCCAGAATTCCGGAAGGCTGTGCATGGGTAGCTCTGTCCACCTGTCACCAGGCTCCCTCTGGGCTTGGCTGGAACAGTCGTGTCAGTCCCTCCCCGGAGTGCTCCAGGCCTCAGGGTCTGCGGGTGGGGTCTGAGACAAGCCTGAGAATATCCTTCCCTGATCCAGGACAGGGTCGGAACCATCTGGATTCTTCATCTTGCCAGTTGATTTCACTGGAGTGTCTCCTTCAAGGGGAGCTGAGATTGACAGATACAAAGCATGGGAAATTCCTGTGTGGTGCCAGTGGGTGTGAAATGTGGTCACCTCTCTGCCTGGAATTCATGGACATTGTCATGGGGACAGGAAGGCGGGGGCGGGGTGGGATCCACACACATGCCCATTTGGTGCCATCATTGCCTGGCTCAGATTCTTCGTTTTCGCCCATCTGATTGTCCACTTGACACCCGTGGGGTCTCACCTTGGCCCTGGCTGCCAGCCTCCACTTGTTCTGGTGTACCTTCCAGGGTCACTTCCCGTTGCACGGAGGCGTCCATGTGTACATGGGGGGTTGTTGGTGTCCCCCCCAAGGAGCCAGTCACAGCCAGGAGGAAGCTTTTGGATTTCCTTGGGAACTTTAAATCACGTCACTCCTGGTAGATTTTTGTTCTCTTTCAACTTTTAACCACAAAATGATCGTTTCCCTTTGTGGTTCCTCCCTTAGTTTATATTCCAGATGCCCTTGGTCCCCATACCCTGTCTCTGACCTTAATCAGCACCACAGCATCTCTTTTGCCTATGTCACAGGCACATATTTCCGGATGGCAAGTGGCTGCTGGTCACTCTTCAGGCTGCCTGAAGATCAGACAACCAGCAGAGCCACAGGGACTTGTCCGAGTTGGGAGGGAGCTTGTGATTTCCCTGTTCGTCCCGTTAGGAGCTGTCCAGTGGGGAGTCCATAACTGAATGCCTCTGTCGGAGCCTCTTGCAGGGTCATCATTCTGTGTTAACTATGTGGGTCAGTCCCGCTGGAGAGCCAGTGACTGAGGATAGCCTGTGCACATTCTGTGGCACCTTGGCACAGACGAATCATTCCATTCTGGCTCTTTTCCTGTTCAGCTGAGCAGTGGAACCAGGTCAGGATTATGGGTCCTTGCCATTTTATAAGCTAGTGTGGAACCAGGCACAGCAGATCTGGGTCATGAATTGTGTTTCCGAGTTGATGGAGAGAAAGTTTGCTCTGGCGTAACACTTGTAATCTTAAGTGGAGAGGTGGGGAGCGTTGGTTCAGAAACCTAAGCCCCCTAAGCAGCAGGTTCAGTGTGATCTCGTTTTTTGGCTAAAAAAATGCACACCAGGGAGCCTGGGGGGCTCAGTCTCTCTTAAGTGTCCGACTCTTGATCTCAGCTCAGGTCTTGATCTCAGGGTCGTGTTGGGCTGCATGTTGGGCGTGGAGCCTACTTTAAAAAAAGCACAGCAGTGTCTTGCTGGGAGACATGGGTGGTGGGGCTTCGTCTTTAGTTCTCCTCTCATGTGTCCGTATTGTCTAAGTGTTTTACAGTAAAAACGTACTGCTGTTTCCACATTAAAGAGTTGTTTACAAAGAGAAACCACACTTCATTTCCGCTTCCTGTCTCCAGACCCCTTGAGCCAAGCCAAGTCGGGACTGCAGCTCTAGGGTGATGGGGAGTATGAGCCAGGCCTGAGTTAGCGCTTTACTGATAATCAGGTGTTTTCAGTAACTTTTAATAACTGACAGTGGTGTGAAAGTTGAAAATCCAGACAAGAAAGAGGTATTGACATGGCATAGGACTAAATAAATGGCTTCGTTGATTATTTGTCCTTCTTGGCTAGGCTGCAAGTCTAGGACTTCAGGTGAAGCAGAGACTGACACATTTCTTTCAGCTCTGCTTGGGGTGTCCCCTGCAGTGGCCGTTAGCCTTTAACATTTCTGGTGCCTTTTGAGGGCCCCAGGGAAAGGAGGGAGGAGGTGGGGCAGCACCTGTCCCAGGTCTCAGGGAATGCCGCCAAAGAATGTACCCTTGAGCTTACTCAGGTGCCTCGACTGCCATGGCCAGGCCACGGCCCAGAGAGCTTGAATGGCTGCACTGTGGTCACCAAGTGAGTGACGCATGGCTCAGAGGTCTCCTGGCTTTCTCCTGCCCGTCACCTCTGTTCGTGGGGCTGAGAATGTTCACTAAACAGTTGATGATGAGGTAAGTTCGGTGAAAACACACACACCCACAGCAAATACCTCCAGCCTGAATCGGAGTCACTGAAGGGCCTCAGTTTCTTGAGATGAGAATTTGAAAGATGGGTTCAGTGGACTGTGTTCCCCAACAAACCTGTTGGTGGGGCTTCTTTCTGGCTTTGGACAGATGAATGCAGCAGTGTGTGGAACCAGAGCTGTGTCTGCTGTCCTTGGGGCTGCTCGTGGGGGATGCCTCAAACCCTGAGTCCGGCTGGCTCCATACTGGTTCACAGGACTCGGCAGCCCAAGGCAATGAGTCTGGGTGCAGGGAGCTTTTCCTCTTCCTGTGAAGGTTTCTTCTGGAAGAGTCCTGAGGCTCTGCTTCCCAGGCCAGCTGAGGACATGTGTTCACCTAGAACCAGCTGCCAAGGTGAGGGCGCTTGGACATGGATCTAATGTGGGGCTGGGCTGGGCTGGGCTGCTCCCCGGGCCGCAGCCCCCTTGGATAGCCTGCCCAGCCTCTGCATGCTCCCCCTTGTTGAGATGAAGGTGATACCCCGCCTGCAGGGAGGGAGGACGCTGTGTGTGGTGGGTTCCACAGCCTCCCCGAACCTGGGTGTTCTTTGTGACCATCTCCTCCTTTTTGACCTCTGTGCAGGATTAACTCCGTCTTCCTTTTGGTGTCGGAAAGCATGTCATCCCGTGTGAGTCACTTGTTCACGTAACTAGGAAATCACATAGCCTCGTGTAAGCTAGAATTCTTGCCATAATCCATCTTTTTGTCGACAAGCGTGAGGTTGGGGCTTTTACAGTGGGGAAGCTGTCACTCCTTCCGACGGTGCGCGTGGACCAACAGGTGTGCCTCCCTTCTGGCCGTCCCCTCTCCGATGCCCACCCCTGCACTCCCTATTTGGATGGGTGATGAACAGTCTGCTCAGGGCCTGGGCACTGGGCCAATAAGCATCTTGGCTGGTGCATCTGTGCAGCGAGCTGTCCTCTGGAGCACCTGCGGCGGAGCAGGTCTGCTCGCTCTCCTCACTGTCTTCAGTTGTCTGTGTCCCTGACCTCAGGAATGACGTGCTGGGTGCGGGTCCCATTGTCTCGAGGCCAGAACCCTACAGTGCTAGTGCCAGTCACTTCAGTGAGAACTGATTTGTGTATTTGCCACCAGCTCTCTCTAGCACTCTTCTCCTCCTCCTCCTCCTCCTCCTCCTCCTCCTCCTCACCCGCCTCCCCCCTCAGAAAGCAAACTGGTGGGAGAGCCAGCCTGTGGCTGTCTATTCAGCAGCTCAGTCAGGTTGCCCTGCACTTTTCTCTAGATGTTCTGCAAATGAACTCGTGTCCCGTTGATTTTTGTTTTTGAAGAAAGACTTACTTGGCCTTACAGCAAAAATGTCCACTCTTCACTGCCCAGGGCACCTCCCTGGGTTGGGCGGTGTCCTCAGTGTGGGTCTGCAGCACGTGCAGACCCCCAAGGATGCAGGTGTGGCCGCATGTGCTCCCAGAGTAGCTTGCCAGCCAGGTACCGAGGCTCATGGTCATCCACAGCTGAGGAGAAGAGGAGTTAAAAATGCACTGTCACTCTGCAGCTGGGATGCCAGAAATCGCATCTTTCACGGTGGCTTTCTTGGTGGAAGGGAGGCTTTGATAGATGCTCATTTATACTTGGACCTGAGTCAGAGCTTGAGCAGTGCAGGACGCAGAAAATAGAATGTTTGGTGAATAAAGATGAAGGTGTATGTGTGTAAGAAATGAGGATTGGAAACTGAAATGGTTAGGTCCTGCAGCAGGTTGGTTTCTAAATTTTTTTTTTTTTTTGCATTTTCAGAATTTTTAGATGAAAATTCTATATCTTAGGAAATCATTGGAAGTAGTTACAGCCTCCATGGTGGTGACATCCTGTCTGCCCCCTCTTCCCCCCCCCACTCACGGCCAGTCCTCCCCTGGCACGCAGGCACACATCTGACGTACCTGGGGCTGTGTGCACTGTGTCCAGAGGGAGTTTGCATCCACGGGAGCAGAGGACCCAGGTGTGGCCCTCGGAAGAGCACTGTTGCCGAGCTCACTGCGGGAGCTGCTTCTGGATGCCCTGTCCGGTCTGCGCACACGGTCGATTCATGCAGGCTCTGCCTCTCCGGGCTCTTAGCCCACCAGCCAGCTTCAAGGCTTATTGACAGCCCTGTTCATGGTTTGCACTGGGGGTGCTGGGGCTGCTGCTTCTTTTTTTAATTATCTTATAAATTTTTCCTTCCACTTAGAAACTGGTAGACAGTCTATCTCAGAAATTCTTAGATTTTTTAAAACGAGATAAAATGCCCAAGTGTGCCTGGTTTGCTGAGATGCAGGTCAGCCTCCTTCCGTACCCTGCTGACTGCAGACCGCTCCTGGAACTGCTTCGTGACTAGTCTGGGGCAGGCGTGGGGCTGTCCCCACCTGCCAGGACCCAGTCACAGAGGCTCTCCAGGCATGTCCCAGCTACACACATTTTAGGGCCAGCTTTTTGAAGAGTATTAGTGGGCACAGGTGACTCCATGCGCTGAGTCTTCTCTCTGCTGGTTGGCCCTTCTCGAGCATGCCTGGGCTTGGCTGTGGCCATAGGCACCTTGACCTTAGATTCCTCGTGTGCTGTCTGTACCCTGTACGGTGACATGGGCCTGAAAGGACTTTGCCTTGACAAAATCTCCCCAGTCCCACACCTCCCACAGAAACATGCACAAAAGGGAAGAACAGTGCCCAAGCGTTTTCTCAGTCCTCCAGACTCTGTGTCTCCTCTCCTCTGTTCTGCTTTTCCTGGCTGTGGTTGTCTCAGAAGTGACCCCTGACCACAGTGGGGGTGCCTGCAGGTCAGGGCCTGTGTGTGTGTGTGTGTGTGTGTGTGTGTGTGTCTTTGCCCCTGGAGACTCAGACTGCAGGGTGTGCTTTTGCTCACCCTTCTTGATCTTCTAGCCACTGCTAAATTCAGACTGTGTTTGCTTATCACCAGGTTCATAATCAGGCTTATGGACAAATTTAGATGTGTTTTTCTTTTAATATTTATTTATTTGAGAGAGAGAGAAAAGGAGAGACAGTGAGAGAGAGTACAAGCAGGGAGGAGAGAGAGAAGCAGGCTCTCCACAGAGCAGGGAGCCCGACGTGGGGCTCGATCCCAGGACCCTGGGATCATGACCCGAGCCGAAGGCAGACGCTTAACGACTGAGCCACCCAGGAGCCCCTAGATGTGTTTTTCTTAGGCTGTTAATATTCAAGATCTTTTTGTATACCGGTATTTTAAAGAAAGCCCTGAAAAAATACCATGCTAGTTAATCATGCTTTATAATCCTATTACTTTTGTTTCCACCTGAATTATGTGTACCTTAATAACACGTAGTTTAGTTTAGTATCTTTTTAAGCTCCACATTTTTGTTATTTTCTGTGGAAATTGTCATGGTGATTAGGCTTCAGTGTCAGGATCAAGAATTGGGATGAAGCATCACTCACTGGGATGGTGGACCTCCGGGCTTATCAAGTCATCGTTTATACATGCAAATGGACATACTAATCCCATGGTTTTTGAACCTGGGTGTTTTGACTCTTGTCTTTTCCATACCTTACCTGGACAGAGGTGCTAAAGTGCTTTCTTTAATCAGGGCTGTCTAGAGGGGCTCCTCTCCTCTGAACCGAAATGTCCCAAGTGACAGTTTTCCCAGGACAGGCTGCATGGGTGGTGCAGCCCAGAAGGGTCGGGGAGCACTCGTTCCCCACACGTGCTGCCTCCGGCCATCTGTCTGTCCTCTCTGGGGCTTTGCTGGGGAAGGCAGCTCTGAGCAGGGCCGGCTAGCCACAGAGGGTGCAGAGACAGGAGAACGTGATTGTGTTCCAGGAGGAGTGTGTTTGCAGACAGATGATGGCCGTGAGTTGCTGAGCCCTGCTCTCTTTCAGTACTTTTTTGATGAAGAGAATAACTAGGATCAGTAAGCACAAGATCTGGTTGATTTCTGTTAAAATACTGTACATTTGGGGGGTGCCTGGGTGGACTCCTGATTTTGGCTCAGGTCGTGATCTCAGGGTCATGGGATCAAGCCCCAAGTTGGGCTCTATGCTGGGTGTGGAGCCTGCTGGAGATTCTCTCCCTCTGCTCCTCCCCCTCCCTCTCTTAAAAAAATTAAAAAATACTGTGCATTTGCAAGTCTGATAGTAAGGTTTTTAAAAAGAGTTTTTCTGCATAAGGGACATATTTGAAGGATATGGGGGAGGGGAGAAGGTGAAGGAAATTACCAGGAAAATAATTATTTAAAAGTTTTGTCTTTTTGCAACATTGAGGCGCTCCCCTGCCCCCGCCCCGCCCCACCACATGCTTTGTCCGTGTGCTGGCAAGCACAATCGTGTGTCAGTCTGAGTTTGTCCCAGAGCATCTAGGGATTGTTTTCCTTGCCTGTAGGCTGGGGTTTTCTTTTCTTAAGTACTTGTTGGGTCTTAGTGCTGCATTAATTGTTTGTAGACCTCAGGTTCTCACAGTTCACCTCAATTATCATTAGTGCAGGCATCTTAACAAATAGTCCAGTAACACCCATGGTTACTCCAGGTTCAGAGGAAGATTTGCAGAGAGGAGGTGAGGATTTGGGGAGGGAAGGGACGGGAAAAAGGCAGCATTAGGGAACTTTTCCAGATCAAAGCAAGACTTGAACTGAGTTTGGGTCTTGGGACATGAGCATTAGGGAGACCCACCAGGTAGAGATCAGAGCTGGGGGCAGTGGGTGTGTGTTGCTTTGGTGGATGAGGCAAGGGGAACTGAGGCTCAGTAGGTGGTGGAGGATGCATGGGACCCCCCAGCTCAGAGGCAGACCTGACCACCTCTCCACTGGCCAGTCTGGTTTGGTTGTGGCGGGGGAGGCCTCCTTCCATGTTGGGGGGAGAGCTGCTCCTGTTTTATAGAATTCAGATGGTCCTAAGGCTCTTCTCCAGAAGCTGGCTGGTCTAGACGGTCACTTGAGCTGGGGTCCAGGACCCTGACCCTGACCAGTGGGTGCCGCCTGCTGAGACTTAAGCTGTCACCTCTGTGTCTGAGGGGCTTAGTTTTCTGAAACAAGTAGAATCAACAATTCTAATCATAAGTAATTATGCTGATCACACCCATCTCATAAGTGTGGAAGGTACGAGGGTAGGTCAGAGGGTGTGTTTGCTCCACACCAGGTTGTGTTCTTGGAGTCCCCCACCCCCGGGGGGGCCCTGGTTAAGTGTGTTAGTGAGAGTCCAGTGTTGTGATTTGCCGTGTGGGGCGTCTCAGGGGAACGTGAACTTCAGACGTTGGTATTAGTCACGTGCTAGTTATTTTCTTTGTGGAGTGGCTGGATTCTGGTAGTGTTGTGAGCTGCATTTAGCATCTCATCTGTACATGTCTGCTTTCTAAAACGGCACTTTTCCTGTGGTTCAGGAAGTCTGTGATGAGGTCGGCAGCGTAGCTAATGGTACAGTCTGGTCTTTCCTGCGCTCTGAAATGAGATGTGTGGACTCTGAAGTTGATTTTCCAGTACCTGCAGACCATGTTCCTCCTGGTCACGAGGAAGGGGCTAACAGGGAGCTCTCCACTGCTTCCTGCACCTTAGCCGTGGAGCCCCCGGGGTTGGGACGTGAGTCAAGCACTGGGGGCCTGCAGGGGGCAGCACAGCGCAGGGAAGAAGGGGAGCTGCTCTGGCTGTGGTCGCGGTGCTTGATGGTGGGTAGGGACCAGGATGCGCGACGGCAGGTGCCTTCTGTCCCAGCATGGCTGGCAGCCCTTCGCTGGGAGGTGCCGCGAGGCCACGGTCCAGCGTTGGTAGGACAGATACTGCCTCTTAGCCCATAGCTGTACCACTTCCTCTGGTATGATTTTGGAAATACGGCTTTTTTGTTCAAGTTCACCCATTAGCTTGGTTTAGGATCTTGGGAAAGTGACCTAACTCTTTTGAGTTTGACTGGATGACCCTTGAAGGCCTTTTCCTTACCTATGACCGCCCCAGGCTCCCTGGCTAGCGGTTCTGTCTCCTTTCCGTCCAGGGATCTGAAACAGTAGGAGAGCTCACAGACGATGACCTGAATGTTCATTTTTTTGTAATGAAAACACCGACTGTGGTTTCTCTGGCTTTCCTCCGACGTGTGTGTGCACGCCACCATCCTTGAATGACACTATGGAATTGGGTCACGCGGGAACACTCGTAGGGGACGGATGAGCAGTTTTGGCTGAGAGGATGGACAGTGTATTGCCAGGGAATGACTTTCAGTGAACCACCGAGACAGGGCAGCTTTCTGACTTCACATCAAAGTTAAAGTTGTTATTTATCTTTCCACTAACAGTTGACAAAATTGGAGAGCCCAGTTTCAACAGTCACTTCCATTTTGCCATATCTGTTCCCTTCCCCTGCTTATTTGTGTCTGTTTTCTTTGAAAATTTTTTAATTTTAATATTTTAAAGTAAATCTCAGACATCACGTCATTGTACTTGCACATGCTGACCCAGTGGGTCCCGCCTGCTGAGACTTAAGTATCTCTAATAGTTGAAGACTTTAAAAAAATCTTGGCTTTTGTTTTTTCAGCAGTCCCTGGTTCAAGCAGCTGGTGCTCATGACCATCCCTTGAAGACCTGCTGACCGCCTTGTTCCAGAGCAGGGGCTCCCTCTCGGTGGGCCTGTTGCTTGGGCTTCTTGCAGACCCCTCTTGTAGGTGGCTCCCTCCACCCTCTTGATGGAGGAAAAGATGGGGATGGTACTGTGTGGTGGTGGGTGGCTCCCTCACCCTCTACGTAGAGGACAGCATTGTGTGGCTTTTTTCTTAGGCTTGGAGTGTCATATAGTACATCTCGTTATGTGCTGACTTGTTCTTTTCCTCCTAAGGGTGTAAATTCTAGTGGTAATGTTTCACAGAATTGAATGTTTAAAATCTTTTATGAGAGAGTCAGGTACTGTCCTTGGTTGTTGTGGTTTTTTGGTTTGAAGTGGGAATCAGTGGGGAGGCCCTTGGGCTCAGTGCAGACCGTTACTCCTACTGCTGTGTTCTGGAATCCATTGCTCTCTGGCTCCAACTTCAGAGAGCTTCAGTAGGACTTTAAAAAAAAAAGGTTCTTGGGGCGCCGGAGTGGCTCAGTTGGTTGAGCATCCGACTCTTGATTTTGGCATGGGTTGTGATCTTGGAGTCATGGGATCAAGCCCCACCTCAGGCTCCGCACTTGGGTGTGGAGCCTGCTTGGGATTCTCCCTCTCCCTCTGTCCCTCTGCACCCCCTCCCAACATGCGTACCCTCGTGTGCACGTGCTCTCGCCCTCTCTCAGATAGATAGATAGATAGATAGATAGATAGATAGATAGATAGATAGATAGATAGATAGTGGTTCTTGATGACCCAGCCTTTGGTGTTGTGTAATGGGCAGAATGTGGGAGACGGGCATTTTGATGGGTCATGTCCTGGCTGTTGATGTTGATAACGCTGCCTTCCCCGGTCAGTGCGCCTGCTGTCGACGTGATTCCCTGGTTTCTGTGGGGGAACTCGGCGTGTGAGTGTGAGGACTCGCCGACCTTGGGCAGAGGCCTGGCAAGGACGAGGCGCACCTGCAGCCCCGCGCCCCCTCCTGTGTTGCGGAGTTTGGGGGCTGCTGGTGTGTGCTGCAGGATCTGCGTCAGCCTGGTCACCCTGTAGAGCCCTTTCTTGGGGTGGGGGCACAAACCTCCAGCCTGCACTGCCCTCCCCCTTTCCTGCCCCAGAGCAGCTCCGCTGGACTTGTGTGCTGGCGTCAGGGGAACCCGTGCGCGTCCCTGTCTGCCAGCTGGGGCCACCAGTGTCCCGTGTCTGTTGCGAGGGCGGGGGTGGGCCCGATGAAAACCACTCCAGACTGTGACATTGAAAGTGTTAGTCTGTTTCTTAGGAATAGCTCAGTTAGGTGTCATTTTCATGCTGCCCTCTTTGTGAGCTGTTCCTTTTGTGAGTATTTGAGAGAGTTTTGGTGGAAATGAAACTGTCCGTCTCCCTCCTGGTGCATCAGGAGGGAGTATAGGCACGCGTGCTCTGTTCTCCTGCAGCAGTTTTTAATGCCCAGTAAGTCCTGTTCGTCAGGAGATCGGTCACTGCCAAATGTATTTTTCTCCACTAGGGAAACTGGAGCGTGGAGCTGGGCTGAGCAGCCGTGGGGCCTCAGGGTCAGTTGGCGGCAGAGGGAGGGTCCTTACCTGGGCCTTCCGAGTGTGCTCGCAGATGTGCCAGGTGAACAGGAGCCGTCTGCGGGCTCTGCGGGGGCATCGTGGCCATGCTCAGCAATCTCTTTCACCAGAGTTATGGAAACCTTACTCCAGATGACAGTCTCCTCGGTTAAACCTCTCTTCCGTATTTGGGTCTGTAGGGGAAGGAAGTGAGGTCGGGTGAGCGAGGGCCAGTGGGCCCCACTGCCACACAGCTGGGTGACCTGTGGGCTTCGGGTGACTCATTTTCTTAAGTAGTCGGCAGGAGGAGCTGCGCTCAGAGCGGACGCTGACCCTGGTCTTAGTTGGGGGAATTGGCTCCAAGCCTCCTGAGTATCGAATTGTAGGAGCCTTTTACCATTTTGCCTGATGGGACGGGGTGGGAGGCTTCAGGCGGCCACTGCCTGCAGTCCACACTGGGCTGAGGATGTGGCTGGGCTCCAGGGTAGTGACAAGGCTGGTCCTGGAGAGGTGCTGGCTGGCCACAGCTCCCTCGGTGGGGGGGCATGGGAGCCACTGATGGTGGCCTCTAGCCCCTTCTGGGAACTGCTCCCCACGGGCCCTACACCCAGGTGGCACTCCTCAGAGCTGTGTGGCTCCCTCCAAACTCGGGGTCCTCTCAGCCTGCATGTTGAACCCTGAGTAGAAGAACCACGTCTGCCCTCCTGGACGCAAGGGCTCTCGCAAAGCAGGAGAAGCTGGCTGAACTGATTCCCGTGCCCACAGCGCCCCACCACCGAGCCCTCTCCACCACCCCTGACGGAGGTGGCCCCGCTGCCTGTTCCTGGACTGGAAGCTAGACGAGGTCTCTTTGTAGTCCCGCGGACAGGGGCCCTGCCTGGGGGACAAGCGCTCAGCTGGGGCTTGGGGTTGGCATGGCCTGGCTCCCCTGCTTTGTTTTTGTCTCTCGGTTTTCTCGAGGTCATTGCACAGTCACACACAGTTTGCCTTGCTTTTCCAGTGGTGGCATTTGGCAAAACTGTGAGCATTACCACAGCCAGGGCAGGATGGCAGGGTGGATGCTCCTCTGATCTTACTCCCGCTGTCCCCGAACGGCGGCTTCAGTTGCATGTGCGTTTCTTTGGGTGCAGTTTGCTCACCTGTGCAGCTGCCTGGGTTGAGCCCCGGGTCAGGACACTGACCCAGCTCGTCGCCACCAGGATCGCCCTGTTGTTCTTTGTAACCTGCAGCCACGAACCTGCGTTCTGTGTCTGTGGCCTTGCCTGTTCCGAACATCTCCTGCCAGCAGATCACACCGTATGGGGCCTTTTGTGTCTGGCGTCTTCCACCGAGCTTCCACCGAGTTTTCAAGGTTCATCTGTGTTGCAATGTGTGTTGGGACATCACTCCTTTCAGACTGAGTCCTAGTTGATGGTGTGGAAGCGCCACCCTTTGTTTATCCACTCATCAGTTGACGGACGTCTGCATTGTTGGCTCTCCTTGGGGATTATGAATAGTGCCGGCTGAACGTTCATGGACAAGTTTGCGCTTCTCTCCAGGAGTGGGATTGCTGCACTGCTTTCTGTTTGCGTTCCAGCCTCATGTGTCTTCTGGAAGAACCTGTTGTGGTCGCGGTGCTGTACGTGTTCTAGAACACGGTGCCAGGGTCCCTCGTGGCTTGTGGGGGGACAAGTGGGCTCCCTCTTCCTCTCCAGGCTGGTGCCCACACCTGGACTGACATCCTGCCAGCACACAGCTGTCCGCTTTCCTTAGGAAAACAGGAGGGCCTTCGGTTACTGTCCTTCCACCCCTTTGTTCTGTGGTCTTTGATTGTCCTGGATTTTCCTTTAGAGCAAGAAATTACTTAGCAAGAGAAGGTGCTGCACAGAAAAACCTTGGAAGGATGGGTTTGGACAAAGTGGTTGGAAGCTGGTTGGATTTAGAACTCCCTGGGTGTGGACAAAACCGGAAAGCGGATGACTGGAGCAGCAGTTTACCACAGGCACAGTTTCTTACGGAGCAGATGTTTAAATTAGGAACTGCTGCTGGAGCCTGAGGAGGCTCAGCAGTGGTAGGTGCGCATCACGAAGGCAAGCACACGTGCTAAATCTGCTTGCTTTGGTATTTAGTAAAACAAAACGAATGTAGAAGGGATACTTAGCTTTGAGTTACCGTTTGTTTTTTTAAAGATTTATTTCAGACAGCGAGTGTGCATGTGTGAGCATGTGCACTGGGGAGGGGCAGAGGAAGAGGGGGAGAAAAACTCAAGCAGACTCCCCGCTGAGCACAGAGCCAGAGAACTGGGGACGCGGGGACGCGGGGCTCCATCACAGGACCCTGAGATCTTGACCTGAGCTGAAACCAAGATTTGGATGCTTAACCAGCTGCGCCACCCAGGGGCCCGTTGAGTTACTGTTTTAGTGTCGTTTTCCTCAAAGGTACCTGGTTTTAACCCAAAATACAGCGTGTGTATCTCAGAGGCATTTGTAAGCACGAACCCCTTTCCCAAGCACTTACCTTGGGGCGTCTGGGGGCGGTGCCTGCCCGTGTCAGGCCAGAGCCTCTGCCTTTGGGCAGGTGGCCATGTGGGAGCAGTCCCTGGATGTCACAGGGACGATGGGTATGGAGCCTGGCCTGGTCATGAGCACACTACAGCTTTTGCCTTCCATGGCCCCTAGAAGCAGGTGGACCATTGGGCTGGGAAGGGGCCGGGTCAGGGGACGTGGGGCTGAGGGCCACCCTGGTGGCACCACGGGGTGCTGTGGGCCGCTGCGCATTTATAGGGATTGTTGGAAAGCTGAAGCCACATCTGGGTCCCTTGGGTGGTTTTGGAGTAGTCTCAGGTTTGGCTGTGAGCTGCTTCGCCCAGCTGCGCCGAAGAGGGGGTGTCTGGCGCTGCCTGGCCAGCAGGACGGGCGGTCATGTCAGCAGGGCACAGAGCTGTGACCCGTGAGGAGGACTACTCCGCCCCGTGAGAATGGCAAGCCCACACGCCCGGGCACTCAGAGTTGGCATAGGTGTTCAGACCGACGTGTGAAGACACACACAGGCCTGCGTGATCTCGCTGTCCCTGCTCCTCCTCAGCGAGGCAGTGGGCTCCCAGGGAGGCTCTGGGTGCAGGGACCGAGAGAGGCAGAGGAGGCCCCTGTGAGGGCCAGGGCTGTGTGCTGGTTGGGCCGCGGGCCGGCTGCCTGCCCACCGCAGACTGTGTCCCACCAGACTGCCGGGGGCGGCTCTCGGGCTTCTGCCGTCTGGCCCTTTCCCGGGGCCATCCTCCTGGGGCCTGGGCCTGGTGTGCCCTGCACAGCCAGCTCTGCGCAGTTGCTTTGTGAGCCCGAAGTCTCAGGTGCCGTCCCGTTGCAGGCACCGGCACGCTGTGACCCGGGGGGTGTTCTGGCAGCACGTGGCACGTGCGGGGCTGGCGCCTGGTCGGGGAGGCCCGGTCGGGGAGGCCCGGTCAGGGAGGCTGCAGTCTCTCGCAAGAGTCTGTTGGTTGCAGGCATGTTGAAGCCAGTTTGTCGTGAAAGAGCCTCGGTTGGGAACTCCCAGAGCCCCCTCCTTCTCCAGCTAGCACACCTGTTCTCTGCTGTTGGCCTGGTGTGCGTGTGTTGGGGGGGGCAGTGTTGGTTGCTTTTGAAAGCAAGGTTCAGAAAGCCCCGTGGCCACTTCTGTATTTCACAGTGTCCCTCAGCACAGTTGAGATGTCCCCCTGCCCATGAGGTTCAGCCCCCCCACCCCCAGAGCCAAATGTTCTCATTCTTCTGAATCAAAGAGTGGTTGCAGATCTGTGTTTTGCATTTTTCCTGTAGGTAGTTTTATGGCTCTGTCCTCGGGATTCAACACAGGTCTTTGATAAACCTACTGAATTGAAATGGAAATGTTATTAAATAGGCAAGTGATATTGGAGAATATATGTAACACATATATATTATTATATTTTGTATCTATATTTAATTATTTGCAACGCTTGTCATAATTAAGCATACGTTCACCAGATTCACAAGGACGCGTTACGATCAAATGGAATCTGAGGTTTCTGAAGTTCCATTTTTTTACTTTTTTTTTTTTTAAGATTTATTTATTTATTTGAGAGAGCGAGAATGAGAGAGAGAGAGAGTACGTGAGAGGGGGGAGGGTTAGAGGGAGAAGCAGACTCCCCACCGAGCAGGGAGCCCGATGCGGGACTCGATCCAGGGACTCCAGGATCATGACCTGAGCCGAAGGCAGTCGCTTAACCAACTGAGCCACCCAGGCGCCCTGAAGTTCCATTTTTTTAAAAGTTTTATTTATTTGAGAGAGCGAGCGAGAGCGAGAGCGTGAGTGGGAGGGGCACAGGGAGAGAGAGAGAAAGAATCTCAATCAGACTCCATGCTGAGCGTAGACAGAGGATGACATGGGGCTCGATCACACAACCCCAAGGTCGGGACCTGAGCCGAAACCAAGAGTCGGGCACTCAACCAACTGCACCATCCCTGAAGTTCCATTCACAGATCTGTTGTCCAGTCTGGAAGTCGCCCGCCCACCAGATCTTTCAGCTACTTCAAGAATTCAACTCTTCAATCAGCCAACAAAATTGTCAGTCCTGGTGGGGCTGTTCAAAAGAATTGAAAGGACTGCAGTGTCCATAATCAGGAAGGGTGGATAGTGGGAAGGAGATTTGTGTCACTTTTATTAAATCTTGATTATTTTGACTTCCAGACTTGTTACTTATTGAAAGAGGTTTCCCAGCATCCTCCAGAAAGTTTGGGAATAAATCTTGGAATGTCATTTCTGTGCTAAAATTTGAAAATTGACATGGTATTTTTCACTTTGGTTCATACTAAAGGAATTCACAAGTATTCAGCATTTGGTTCTACTTTTCTGGGGGCCGTGCACACGCCCAGCATTTTCAGTGTAACAAGGAAGCAGTGTGACGAGGCGGTGGGTGGGGGTTCACTTCAGGGAGCCAGGACGGGCCTGGGCCTCTGCTCTGTGGGGACTCTTCGCAGCCTCACAGGGAACGCGAGGTCCTTTAGGATCAGACTGTACTCTCAGTGCCGTTTTAGGGGCAAAATGAAGGAGGGGGATATTTGGAAGAAACGTAGACCTAAAGGCAGTGCTGTGTTCAGGACTCAATGTGTGTCTTTGTAGCATCCCGCACTGTTCAAAATAGACCGTGTCCTGAATGAAATGTGTATCAGTTGTTAATTGCTGCATAACAAAACCAGACAAAACCCTATATCCTAAAACAACAGTGATTTTATATTTCTCATAATTCTTACGTTCCCTGGGTATTTTTCTCTGGTCATGTTGGGGATTGGCCCAGGATTCCCTGCGGGCGTAGGAGCACTAATGAGGTTCCAGGGAATGAGGCTCCCTCCACGATGGGGTGAGCTGAGAATCTTGTGGCTCATTATCCAGTCCACACGGTGTGTGTGAGACAAGTGTGTCCAGTCAGCGTGGTGCGTTAAGTGGTGAGCTGGTTTTGGTACAGAGGTTGCATCTGAATTTAATAGAATGAGAAGAAAATTTGGATTGATTTTCCTAAATTCTAGATAGAGAATTCTGAACTACGTAAGTTGCTTAACTTTAGAGATTTTAAAACTTTGTGAGGCCAAATCTTAATCCTTGCCTGGATTTAAGCATAAATAGCAAATTTGTCTGTGTCATTCAGTCATAGAGTGAATTTAGAGAATACTTTGGATTATAGAGCAACAACAACAACAACAACAAACTGGCATGAAAATCTACATATTTCTGACCAGAATTCTTTAGCTTGGAAATATTGTATGATTTTTTTATTTTTATAATTTTTTTTTGCATTCATGCTGCTTTTTGTTTTGTTTTTTGTTTTTTGGATTTTTAAAAATTTATTTATTCATTTGAGACACAGAGATACAGAGAGAGAGGGAGAAGCAGGCTCCCTGCCGAGCCAGGAGCCCGACACGGGGTTTCGATCTCAGGACCCTGGCATCACGACCCGAGCCGAAGGCAGACGCTCTGCCATCTGAGCCACTCAGGCGCCCCATGAAATGTTGTATGTTTTTAATAAGTATCAATAGATGTGTTTTTCCCACTTCTATTTGAGTTACATATATGGAGTATTTATTATGTTTCATCCGGGCTTCAGTGTTGTTGCACTTTATTTTCTCCCACCCAAGGACTAACCAGGCCCGACCATGCTTAGCTAACGAGATCAGATGAGATCGGGCGCGTTCAGGGTAGTATGGCCATAGACTGCACTTGATTTTCTTTTCTTTTTTTTTTTTTAAGATTTTTTTTTTTTTTTTTTTAATTTGACAGAGACACAGTGAGAGAGCGGGAACACAAGCAGGGGGAGTGGGAGAGGGAGAAGCAGGCTTCCTGCCGAGCAGGGAGCCCGATGTGGGGCTCGATCCCAGGACCCTGGGATCATGACCTGAGCCGAAGGCAGATGCTTAACGACTGAGCCACCCAGGCGCCCCTGCACTTGATTTTCTAACCGAACGTTTCAGGTTTGATTCTATTTTATTTTATTTTTTTAAGATTTTATTTATTTATTTGACAGAGAGAGACACAGCAAGAGAGGGAGCACAAGCAGCAGGAGTGGGAGAGGGAGAAGCAGGCTTCCCGCCGAGCAGGGAGCCCGATGCGGGGCTCGAGCCCAGGACCCTGAGACCATGACCTGAGCCGGAGGCAGACGCTTAAAGACTGAGCCACCCAGGCGTGCCCCGCTCAGGTTTGATTCTAAAGACGTTGCCTTTGGTGCTATTGGCCGAGCCTTCTTGTGGGTGTTTCCTGGCTGACACTGTACTGACTATTTCACATTTACTCTAACCACGGAAGACAGCTCGTTTTGATGTTTTCAGGGTGCACCTGTGGAGCATACAAGATGAGAAAACCCCCAGCTTCAGAGTGGGATTAGGATGACGTGGTCTGTGGGCCTCGGTGGCCAGCTCCCTGCCTTGAGGATTTTGCGGGCACCCGGAGAAGTGCTGCTGGTGCTTCTGCACTTTGCCCCAACCCCTCACTGTGGCCACTGTGCTGAGGCCCACGTCCTTGAGTCACCCTGTTCCCCGCCGCCTGGGTGGGCTTCCTGGAAGGGGAGAGGAGCAGAGGTTTTCATGGGGTTCCTGTAGAGAGGGCTGAGGTAGTGATTTTTGGATGGCTGCGAGGGTTCCCACCCATGTCGGGAGCAGGCTTTCAGACTTTGTGGAAGAAACACAAGGCCCAAGGGGGCAGCTGAGGATCGGGACAGAGGGATCTTCCCAGGGACACTGGAGGCTGAAGCAGGACAGGCAGGGACAAGATTTGGAGGCACTCCCTGCATGGGGTGAGACCGCGGCTTTGCGGGGAGGCACCTTGAGTTGTGCTTCCTTTACAGCTGAGAGGTTTCAGGCCCGGAATGACCAAGGTATTTTACTACTTAGGTCCTTCTCGTGGGCAGTAATAGGAGGTTGTGGTGGATGCCAGTCTTTACCTCTTCTCTGTGCCTCCCCACCCCCACCCCCGTGTAAGGTTGAGGCCACTGAGTGTTGATGGCAGGATTCTAGACTCTGTGCGGTTGATTTCATCTTGAGTGGAGCTGTTCCGAACGTGCCCCGTTTCCTGACGTTCCTGCCATGTTGCCAGTGTATTCAGAGGGGACGTTGGTTCCTGAAAACACCACCACTGGCTAATGCAGGTCACAAAAATATATCTGTGAGCCTTTAATCTTTTAAATATTTTAAAATGTAAGGTACACGATCCTTCACAATTTCATCACATATAACTTAAATACTGTTCTTCACAGTTGTGTTACCACCTGATTAAAATAGGTGATGCTAATTTTGGTATCTGTGACATTTGTCGTTCTTAGGTTTTGTAGCTTTTACACTAGAGTCTGGTGAGTGTTCTCTCTTCCTTTCTGCGTCACTTGGAGAGAAGCTTGGACATGTCACGCCGCTGCTAGGACGAGGGTGAGGGTGCCTCTTGGAGCTCAGATTCCAGCGGCAGGTTTAGTGTGGAGAGGCAGAGATGTGGGTGAGGAAGAAGCCCAAGTGCTAGTAGGAGCAGCCGGGGCAGCCGGCCAGCGGCCAAGAGGCAGGAGCTGAACGAGAAGCTCGGGGGTCTTTGCTGAGGCCCAGAGGGTCAGCCTCTCACTTTGCTCATGGCAGTTGGATTGTATGGAAAATGGCTTCCATGGGACTCTTTATTTGGTCTTCACTAAAAATTAAAAAGGATTCTTGAGTTACCTGCATCTGCCATTTGTTTTGTGGAGCCACCGATGCAGTGTGGAGGGCAGGGGCCCTTCTGTGGTCTCGTTTTTGAGATCGTGTCTTCTGGAGCCGTCATTTAGATTAGGACATGGGCAGTGATGTGCTAAGGTCCCTGGAATGCTCGGTTTTGCAGCAGAGACAGCTTTGCTCGGTAACTGGTAACGTGGTCTCCTTGCGAAGGACCTGGGTCTTGTTGCCGATGCCCCTCCTCCTCTGCGGGCCGACTGGGGGTGGTGCGATGGCGCTTTACACACAGAAGAGTGACGTCACTTTCATCCGTGGAACTCCCGCGTGCCGAGTGGGCGGGGCCGAAGCCGCCAGTCTCCTGGGTCGTATTGGACCTCTGTCACAAGACGCAGTAGGTGGCGTCTGGATCTTTCCCAAGCCAGGCGACTTACCAACAGACATTAAAACGGCTGTGAATAGTGTTCAGAATCCTCAACCAGAAACCACAACACTAAAGCTGGAACTGAATCTTGAAGTGAGATATGTGGAGTTCACTGGCCCGTGGCCTTCTCATATCTGCCACCAGCGCCATCGCGGCCCAGGGCGGTGTGTACGCTGGCGCTTTGGAACCCTTTGTAGTGAGCTGCAGAAGGCAGCCTGGGTCAGAGCCTTCGAAGCCCCGAGGTGTGAAGGAGGACAGTTTGGTCCGTTGCCTGAGGGCTCCTTGCTTTTCCACCTTCTCTGGCTTGGGAACCTAACCTCCAGGACACGTTGTCCAGGATGCGTGTGGGACGAGTGTGCAGTGTTTGCAGAACCACCTCCCAAGTCCCTAGGACTGGCCTCCCAGCCTCAGGCCTCCCGGCACGGAAACCTCTGGAATCTACTGGCTCTTTGCTTTGGAGAGTATATGTATAGATTTCCTGTTGGTCAGATGGCAGTCTTAAAAGCTCACAAGTGTTGGTTTTGCGTGTGTTCTTTATTTTTCTGAGCCCATTTTTTTTTTTAAAGATTTTATTTATTTATTTGACAGAGAGAGAGATAGCGAGAGCAGGAACACAAGCAAGGGGAGTGGGAGAGGGAGAAGCAGGCTTCCCGCCGAGCAGGGAGCCCGATGTGGGGCTCGATCCCAGGACCCCGGGATCATGACCGGAGCCGAAGGCATACGCTTAACGACTGAGCCACCCAGGCGCCCTCTGAGCCCATTTTAAAGAGAATGTCTGATTGAGGCCCATGTGACTGTTGAGGGGCAGGTCCTACGGAGGTCTTCCCGTGTCCGTGATGACTAACCCATTGTGCACCGCGGGTCCCAGTAACAAAGGCACTGGTCTGCCTTGCTCTTCACACTATTGCTAAGCTGCACACACTTATAAATATAGAAACTCGTGTGTGTGTGACATGAAGATCCTGCCGGGGGGGTTGTGCACTTGGCCACAGGCTGCATGGGCAGGGCATGCACAGCCGACCCCCGTCTGTACTGCGGGGGGTGGGGGGCGGCACACACTGCAGCCCTGGTCTTTAGAGTGGTCACACCTTTGACCCATAACATCTGGGGCCTCAGTTTCTCCATTGTTAAAACCAGTGAGGGAGTCGGTCTTCCTGGGACCTCTGTACATGCTCCTGGCGGTGCTTGGGGAGGGCACGGAGAGCCTGGTGGGGTGTGGCCTGGAGGAGTCCCCAGAGGCCCCATGACTATGAGAAGTGGTTTCGTGAAAGGGAAAGGACATGCTCGCAGGACTGTTTTTAAAGATGGGTTTCAGAAAGTGAGTGCAGTAGTCGCACCTGTTTGGTGTATTGAAGGACTTAGTACGTTTCACTCCTTGACCCCAGTGTTGTTTACAAAAAGAAAAGAAAAAAAGAGGCGCCTGCGCACTGGCCCCTACTGCGGGTGGAACATGGCGGAGCATGTCCCAGCCACCCCCCGACCCGCACCCCAGCTTCGATCTCTGCTCTGCCCTCTGACCTGCTCGCCTGCTACCCCCAGTCCAGAAGGTGACCTTCCAGATCCCCACACAACCACCGCACAAATGTCCATCACAGGCAGAAACAGCTCTGCCCCTTAAGAGTTGCCTGGAGCCCTCCAGAGATGAGTTCAGAAGCGGCTGACCACAGTGGCCGGGCATTGCTCCCCTGGTTTGCTCTGTGATGGGTTCAGTCCTTCCTGGCTTCCTGCAGGGGTCACTTGAGTGAGAGCCTGGGGCCAGGGTACCCTGGCGTGGGTGCAGAAGGCCTTGGTGTGTTCCCGCTGCAGTTCGGATCAGGCTGAGAGGAGCCCGGTCACAGAGGGCTTGTTGTCGCTCCATCTCTGTCGTGTCTCCATGAGTCTGATTCCCTAGGGGTCTCACAGAAGTGGAATCCGACACTGAGCACGATGTCTTTAAGGTTTATCCATGTCGGGTGTCGGGATTTTCTTTCTTTTTAAGACTGGATAATACTCCATTGTGTGTAAACACCACATTTTCTTTATGCATTCCTCTGTCGGTGCATGGTTGGGTTCCTTCGTGTCCTGGCTATTATGAGTAATGCTGATGTGAATGTGGGGGTCCGGACATCTCTGAGACCCTGCTTTCATTCCTTCTGGGCGTATACCCAGAAGTGGGATTGCTGGACCCACTGGTGTAGTTCCAGATTTGTTTTTGAGGAGGCGCCATGTTGTTTCCATGGCAGCTGTACCATTTTACGTTCCCGCCGATGCCGCTCCGTTTCTCCACACCCTTGTGGCTCGGTCCCCTTGAGGTGGTGGCTGGTCAGGACACAAGGTTTCTGTCTTCCTTCATAGCATGGTGCTGCCTTCAGCAGCCGGTCTATCATTTGGGAAGAATCCTGGGCGTGTTTTTTTTGTTTTGTTTTGTTTTTAAGATTGTATTTATTTATTTGACAGAGAGGGAGAGACAGAGCAGGAACACAAGCAGGGGGAGTGGGAGAGGGAGAAGCAGGCTTCCCGCCGAGCAGGGAGCCCGACGCGGGGCTCGATCCCAGGACCCTGGGATCGTGACCTGAGCCGAAGGCAGACGCTTAACGACTGAGTCACCCAGGCGCCCCTATCCTGGGTTTATTTAAAGATAATCCACCCGGTCGCCGAGCCCTGCCCTTTGGAGGTTTGTCGGGGCCACCTGTCCCAGTGCCTTCCTCCCCCACTTGTCCCCCATCATCCCTCCAGCATGCTCATCCTCACCGCCATCTCTGCCTTTTGGTTTTTTTGTGATAAATTTCTACAGTAAAAGATGCCACACCTGCCTGTTGAACCTGCCCGTTGGACTGTTAGCACTGGGATCTGTTGTCGAGGGAGCATCCCGCCAACCCCGCAGGACAGTCAGAGTTGGCCGGGAGCTGACCCCCAGCAGCAGCAGGCTTCCTCCTCCCCTGCTGTTTGTATGTGCTCTGTCCTTCGGGGGGGGCGTCCCCAGAATTGTGCTAGTACCTTCTTGACAGAGCTGTCTTTGGAGTCACCCGCAGTGTGCGCGTCCGGCTGCACCATCCAGCTTCTGAGGCGTCTTTCTTCTGAGCAAGGCCAGCCGACGTCCAGCGTCTCTCGTTA